TTACCTCTGTAACAGACTCACTTAAGACAGCTCTTTAGCATTCCAAGCTCTTCTAACCCACACTGAAGCCCCAGACCCGACTTATTCAACGATTCCTCCCCACTTCCCATTGCTAGAAGAAGTTGCCCGCGGTAGGTGGTCTTCCACCAACACAATCTTCTTACCTTTCTCCAAAGAGCTGCTTTAGTGCTGATGGGGGTTCCACACAGATGGCCGGGCTTTCCACGTTTGGAAAGGATGAGAAACGCAATGGATGGAAGGGGGGGGGGGTGGGGGGGGGGAAGGAAAAAAGAATTGCAGTGATTTGTTTTTGTTCTTTCTGCAGAGGGCTCTGAACCTCATTGGCCCTGGGAGATCCACCACGTGGCATGGGATGAAGGGCACGTGACCTATTTTCTCCCAAATCCCTGGGTTTTGCTGGCAAAGGGAGACGCGCCCCCACTGCTCATGTCCTTGTCATTCCAGTGGGCTTGGGTTTCTTTTTGGTTCGTTTTTAAAGGCCACTGAGCAAATGGGGTTGCCCCCAGGCGATGAGGGCGAACCAGCCAATGCTTTTCCAAGGGAAGGAGAAAGAAGCTGGGATCTGAGATGAGCCCATGTGCAGGGGGGAGATGAAGGGATGCTGACAGAGCCTGCACACCCACTCCAGTGATGGAGCATCCAGGAGGGAAAGGAGGGCGACAGCAATGCACATTTGGCTGCTGGGCTTAAATCCGACAGCAGCAGCAGCAAGGACCGGGCTGAAGCCCTGATTCCTGACCCTTGGAGGAAACGGGATGTGTTACAACTGCTCTATCACTGCAAAATAGAGATCAGCTTGTGCCCCTGTGTTGCTCCTGATACCATCCTCTCCTGCCCTCTTAGTTAATGCGTGGTGGTTGCATTAACCAAGTGCCCTGCTTTGGAGGCTGCAACAGCAGAAGGATCAAGTGCATGGCTATGCAAGGCTCGAAGGGTGTTTCAAAGCGTTATTCCCTCACCAAATCTGAACCACAGCACAGTTCTGGGGGTGTTCTGCCCTATCTTGGTGGAGATAAGCAAGCCAAGATAAGGCCCTGTGGCAAGATAAGCCACAGCTCCCAGTGTCTCTCTGACTGGTGATGAGGGTTCCTCCTTGTCCCAGCTCTGTATTTCCCAATGGCTCTGAGACACCAGATCCCAAGCAGACACAGTCCCCAGGCGAAGCAGCTCATGGCCTGCCCTTGGTAACTGCAGGTACCAGTCCATCACCGTCAGAACACTCAGCCTGGGGAACAGAGAAGTTATCTTTGGAGCCTAAGACATCCTCTTGTTTTTCCCATCACAGCTCAAGCCTATAGGTTGCACCAGTCAGAAGTGGAAAAGCTGTCTCCAGCCATCCTATCACTGAAGGGCTTGAGCCATTCTTACCTAAAGGTAACACCTAAGGCTCCTTGAAGAACCAGCTGAGCTTGGGCTTTGGTGAAAAAGAACAGCTCTGGCCTCCTTCATGTCTTCTTGGAATCACTGAATCACCGAATCATCATAGAATCATTGAATTACAGCATTGTAGAAAGGTCTGGGTTGGAAGGGACCTTAAAGCTCATTTAGTTGCAACCCCCCCGCCATGGGCAGGAGCACCTTGCACTACAGCAGGTTGCTTCAAGCCATATCCCAACCCAGCCCTGCTGGTTCTTCCCTGTGGCTGTTCCCCTGTACACAGCTCTGCTCAGGGATGGGAAGCATCAGGAGCTCAGTCCCTATTCCCTCAGTCCCAAGCCTTTCTCAAGGCCAGACCATATCACCACACTGTTATTAAAGACAGAAGAAGAGACTTAAAATACCCCAAACATCATAGAGAAGTGCAAGGTTTCACTTGAAACCCTCTCTGTATGGGAGGTTTGCACTTCTCCAGCCACCACCCAAGCCAGTGGGGCATTTCATCCCAACAAAGTACAAACTGAGGGAGGAGAAACTTCCCATGCTCAAACCCAAGCTACGGACACAGCCAAAAGCACTCAGCTCACTGCTTTCCCCTCCCACGTTAGGCAATGGCCAAAGGGAGAGAAGAATCCCCCCACCTTCCGTCCCCATAGCTCGCCGCCTTCCCCAGTGCTGCCCAGCTAAATCTGGCTCCCCAGTAATCTTCTGCATAATTATATAATAGAGAGGCAGGTGGAGGAATGATTTTAGGCAGAAAGCAAGCTGGATTAAAAGATCAGAAGCAGCAATACTGAGATTAAAATGGTTTGTTATTTTCAGCTGCGGGAAATCTGTGGCTAAAGCCACAGAAGATGGGGAGGGAAGGTGCAGCATCTTCCTTTGTGCCCCAAAACCAAGCTCTCTATGAGTTGTAGGTTTCCAACCTGTGCTCAGGTTTGGTTTCCCAACACATTTTAGCTAAAGACTTAAAAACAACGTGGAGATGCTTCAAGATACATTTTGCCCTGTGAGCAGAGTCCAAATTAAACCCCATCAATGCATTGCTGCTTGTTAAGACATCCTTGACTCAATGAGTCAGCGTGTGGCTGGGCACATCATTACCTATGAGAAACATGTCTCCAGGCACATAGCATGGAATCACGGAATCAGCCAGGTTGGAAAAGACCTTTAAGATCATCCCCAGCACTGCCAAGGCCACCACTGACCCATGGCACTGAGGCCTCGTCTACATGGGGTGTGAAGGGACGGTGACTCCAGCCCTGCCCTGTTCAGCCTGTTCCAATGCCTGAGCACCCTCTGGGGAAGGAATTGCTCCTCAGCTCCATCTAAACCTCCGCTGGTGCAGCTTGGGGCCGTTTCCTCTTGTCCCATCCCTTGTTCCTTGGGAGCAGAGCCCAGTCCCTCCTGGCTCCATCCTCCTTTACCAGTACCAACACCCGAGCATGTGCCTCCCCACAGCCCCAAGCTGATGGCAGGGAGATGCTTACCGAAGAGGCAGCCACGGCTGGGAGAAGCCCATCAGACAGCAGGGCAGCTCTCTGCAGGCACCTATATGGTGTCCCCCTGGCCCCCAGCAAGGTCGGTGGCCTGGGGTGCCATGCTCTGACTGATCACTCTGGAAAGGCGTGAAGGGGAGGGCAGGGATAGGACAGTGGGAAAGGGAGCAGACACTGGGGGCCAAGCTCATCACCCACATCCCGGATCGATGCTGCTGCTCATTCACCTTCACGTTCCCATTAAGCAGAAGGGTCAAGCTGGGAAATCATTTGCCACTAGTAGGCACATCCCCATCACCCCCCCCACCCCCCAGACTTGTGTTGCAATCACAGAGGCACAGAATCAACCAGGTTGGAATGGACCTTCAAGATCATCAAGTCCAACCTAATGGATTTAACCTAGTGCTGCCAAGGCTACTGTTAACCCATGTCAAAGCCTCTTCCCCTAGGAGAGTAGTGCCTCCTCCATGGACACTTCCCACCAGAGCACCTTGCTAACTCCAAACCTTCTCAGGCTACCCCTCATTACTCATGGCATTGCCTGGAAGCGAGATGGAGCAGCAGTTTCCCAGTGCCAAGTGGTCCCCAAAGTCCTCTTCCAGGACTATTGTATAGGAAATCTATGGGGTTCCTCACACCCATAGATTTCCAATACAATAGTCATAGTACTACATGCATGGGATGAACTCTGCCTTCAAAGGATGAAATCCCATTGTGCAAAACCCAGCCTTGAAGAGGACTTAGCATTTAGAACCAACACACCACCTTGCTTTGCTTTGAGAAAGAAGCTGCTGGCTTGCACAGACCCCAGGCTGCTGTCCTACATATGGATATGGGAACAGTGCTGGGAGAAGGGCTGGGATGTTGGACTGGAGCATGGGAAGGCAGAAAACTGAAGACACGTTCCTGGTGGGGATGTTGTAATGTTTATCAAAGTGATGATTCAATAACCACTTATTGCAGGAAAGCATCTTCACTAAGAGAAGAGAACACAACTGTTAGATTGGGGTCATACGCACTTGTAGGGGGACAGTTTGGGGACACGGTCTCAGGCTGGACACTCGGCTCCCCCAGCAAGGACATGTCCTGGCTTTCCTGGGCTTCACAATAGGGATCCCATCCCCAAGACCTGCTGCACTCAGGGAGATGCAGCAGGGACGAGACAGGGCCCTCTAGGGATGTGCTCCTAAGCACATCCTTCCTTCAGCTCATGGCTACAAAGCCACTCTCCACCCCCCAAAACAACACTTTAGAGGTGGACATATCTCTCAGAAGCTGCCCATAGCACATAGGAGCTGCAGACAGTGGCCTTAGATGATGCATGCTCAAGACCAGGCATAACCAGTACTCATCACACACCACCACTGACCACAGACAAGCCTCCAAGCAGGTTGTGGGGCAAGTTCTACTCCTGCTGCACTGTACTCAGTTACCTGAAGCCTCCATCCCCTTACCCAAAAGGCATCATGTTGTTGAAGGGACAGGCTGTTGCTCTGGTCGGGCTCTCCCAGGATTTTATGTGAGGAAAACAGGGATTAGCGACACTTGGAAAAGGAAAGAGAAAGAAGAGAGGTGGATTTGTCTGTGACTGAAACATTGCTGCTTTATGGTGCTGTCTTCTCACTCGGAGATGGGCCTCCTCTTCTTCAGTAATGGAAAATGCTGCCCCGCTGTCCATTTGTGATAGTCAATGCCTGGGACAACACAATGGCCCCAGGCCAAAGCAGATCTATTTTAGTAACAAAAGCAAGAATGGCTGATGGAAACGACCCCGTCTGTGCACTTCCCAACTGAGCTGCTTGGCTTGGTTTTAATGGACCCTTATTGCATGCAGAAAGCAGGTGGCCAAGTGCAATGAGGGCAGTGGCAGCAATAGGAGACCTGCATGGATGCAGAGGCCCCAGCCTCTCCTTGAATCCCTGTGAGCAGCATTGCAGGGAGCAAAACCCCCTTCCATACAGAGCCAGGTCCCTGCAGTGCAGCAGTTCCTCTCTCTGCAGAGCCCAACCACATCCTCGCTGTGGTTTATAGCCCAAGGGAGAGCACAGTGCAGAAGACATCCCCCCCAAACCAGGATGTGGGAAGCAATTGAGCTCACCTTACCTTACCCTGCAGGCTGGCCTGGAGCTCCAGAGTGATTCCTCAGAGGATACAGCTGCACCAGAAAAGGGCATTGCTGAGCACGGGATGGAAATGGGTGGTCCACAGCAGAAGCCTGCAGAGCAGGATGGGGTAGAGGTTAGGCACAGGGAGGGGGAAAGACACCCAATGAATGCTTATCACCCAGGAGAAGGGAATTTCAGAGGGAAAGGGAACATAGCTTCAGTTGGAAGGGACAAAAGGATGGGGAGCACCACATTCAGGTTGTTACAGGGCAGGCAGCAAAGCCCTGTGTATGCTTTTCTCTGCATGCAGAGCAGGTTGGGCAGGTCCTACCCCAGCATCCCTGAACAAGGGAAGCCATCCAAAGAGCTGGGTTGTGAAGGGTCATAGAATCACAGAATGGTTTGGGTTGGAAAGGACCTTAAGATCATCCAGTTCCAACCCCCTGCCACAGGCAGGGACACCTTCCACTAGAGCAGGTTGCTCCAAGCCCCTGTGTCCAACCTGGCCTTGAACACTGCTAGGGATGGGGCAGCCACAGCTTCTCTGGGCACCCTGTGCCAGCGCCTCAGCACCCTCACAGGGAAGAGCTTCTGCCTAAGAGCTCATCTCAGTCTCCCCTGTTCTGGCAGGTTAAAGCCATTCCCCTTGTCCTGTCCCTACAGGCCCTTGTCCAAAGCCCCTCTCCAGGTTTCCTGCAGCCCCTTTAGGCACTGGAGCTGCTCTAAGGTCTCCCCTTAAGGAGCCTTCTCTTCTCCAGGCTGAACCAGCCCAGATCTCTCAGCCTTTCACCCAGAAATCACACAATGGGAATAATCTCACACATTCCAGTGGCATTGGGCGCCAGGTTATTTGAATTGCTCTCTTTTTGCTGCTGCTCCCTGTAAGTTAACTGGGGCATGCATTACCCATCAATAACATCCATTGAGCAGCCTGAGCCATTAATAAGCCAAGTGCCAGAGGGCACAAAAGCCTCTCCATAACCAAAATACCTGGGTGAGCTGCGGGCCCCACTCACTGCTTGGATGTGCTGGGGCAGGCTGTGTGTGCTAAGGGGCAATCTTTCTCTTCCCAATGACTCATCAAGAGCCAGACTCATCCCCAGGGACCTGGGCACCAGGAGATGACACTGCCATGGGAAGGAGCCCATCTGCAGGAGGGGAGCCCATGGAACCCCCTGAGGTCAGGCTTCAGTCCCGCCTGCTGCTCACAGCAGCGTCAGCACTAAGATCAGAGTAGGATGCTGAGGGCTGCATCCCTCTGGAGTTTGAAAGCCTCCAAGGATGGAGACTACACAGCCTCTCCCAGCAACCAACTGTCCTCAGAATTAATGCTTTTTTCCTTATAACACCCTATATGTCTCTCTGAAGGGAAGCCATGTCCCCCAAAGGAGTGACTGCATCCCCAGCTGGTGCCACCTACAAGGACAGGTCTCAAGATGGATCCCGAGGAACTCCACTACACAAGCAAAATAAATGTTGAATCCCACTGTCCCAATCATAACAGAAAGAGAGCGAACAAAACCAAGCCCCAAACGAGCCAAAAAAGATGGGAAACCCAAACTGCATCTCACGTTTGGAGGAGCAGAGGGAGCAGTTTGGGAACCAGTGCAGGCAGCAGGGAAGGACCTGGAAGTTCTCAGCACCCTAGGATGCCCAGCCAGCCCCCCACCACCTTAAAACCAGCAAGAGCATCCTCCCAGCACTGCTGTTGGGACTGAATCCCAGGCAACAGAGAAGCACAAGGGCAAAACAGCCCCAAGCAAAGGAATCCTTGGTAATGGTTTGTTTCCATGCCCGTCAGCACAAACTCCTGGTCACTGAGTCCAGCATTGAGAAAAAGAAGGAAAACCCCCCGACATGGCATCATGTGTGTATTTTGACAGACAGGAACAAGGGGGCTCAGACATGGGTTCATAGAATCATACCATGGTTTAGGTTGGAAGGGACCTTAAAGATCACCCAGTTCCAATGCCCTGAGGAACTGGGCACCTTCCACTATGGCAGGGGGTTAGAACTGGATGAGCTTTAAGCTCCCTTCAACCCAAACCAGTCTGGAGTTCTATGATTCTATGATTTGATGTCCTCTTGCTTTGCTGCAACCCCCCAGGGAAAACACAAGCTCTTTGGGAAAACTCACTGTGCGGCTGGTGAGGGATACACCAGGCGGGATGGGGGCGTTTGCCCACCGCATCCCTGAGTGGTACACCTTTGAGATGGGAACCTCAGCAAGGTGGTTTCATCTGTATTGTATCCCCAGCCCAATTCCTGTTGGAGGGAACCCTGCTCCCATCTAGTCCGGCTGCTGCTTGGCTGCTTTGGGGTCTTCAGTGCTGCCGCTCATGGTGCAAGGGAGAGAAGGCTCCTTCCCTGGCCTGTGTTCCCATCATCCGCATTACTGGGTGTTTTATGCAGACAGAGGCAATGATTTTAATGTCCTAGTGAACAAGCTGTCAGGACGCATCAGCCTCAAAAGGCAGACTTCAGAGATGGCTTCTCCTCCCAGGCACTGCCTAGGCAAGGAAAACCAATTCCAGCTCTGCACATACACACACCATGCATGTGCCAGCACTGCCTGTGATTTTCCAGCCTTCAACAAAACACCCTTCAAACCCCCATACATCAAGAGTGGGGTGAGCCCCAGGTTGGGGGGCTGTAGTTGGGCACAGCCATAGGGCAGGCAGAGGGGGCAGCCCCACAGGCAGGAGCATGATGTGATGGGACCTGAGCGCCCGTCAAGAGATGAGCTGAGAAAAGCCATGAGCAGAGCTGACATCTGCCCCCTGGGCAGGTACATAATGAGCACAGACATTGTCCATTTGGGGAGAGAAGGTAAAGATAAGAAATTCCCAAGCTGACACCTGGCTGCCTCCATTGGTATTCCTGGTAAGGGATGGGGAACACAGGGCAGTGGGTGAGTGGGATGATGGCATCATTGTCTCAGCATCTCACTTGTGCTACCTGGAGCTTCCCTCTTTATTATCCCTGGGTACATCCCTATGGGATCTGGCGGGGTCCCACATGTCCCCATGTCTGATGAATAGGGACAAAGGGGGAGCACGGTCCTGGGTCCAGTGGCACATCAGACCTGCTCTTAGCCAGGATATAGGCACAGGAAAAGGCTCCCATGTCCAGTGGTCCATAAAGCATCACCCCTCTTGCTGCTTCCACAAGCCTAGTCCAGTCAGTCCCTATAAACCCAGCCTCCATAGCCCACTTGTCATCAGCTCTTCCCTAACTTCCCTCCAGCCTCCCCGCTATCCACCACCTTCAACCAGTGTCTGCTGATAACACAGGAGCAACAGAGCGGGAGAAGGGAGAGACCTGTATCACCCCTCGGTTTTCCCCTTTGGAAAACCTGGCTCTAAAAGCACTAGTGAGACAGCAAACTCCTCCTATTTATGCTATTAACCCCTGTTTACCCTTTTTTACTCCTGTTTACCCATAAAAGCCTGGCAGGCACTTCGTGGTCCAGCTGGGAAAGCCCATATTGAGATGCTTTCCTTTCATACCTCCCTGCCTGCTTTTCCAAAGGCAATTATAAAGTCATCAAATCCCAGCCTGGTTTGGATTCAAAGGGACCTTAAAGCTCATCCAGTTCCAACCCCTTGCCTCTGTTTAAGTCTCTTTGGGGCCATCCTAGGTGGAAGGGGAGGTCCAGAAATGCCCAACAGCGGTTGCCCTGGACCAAAGACATCATCTGGGGCACAGCAACTCCTCCTCAGCACCCGATGACCTGCTGGCCTGGAGCAGATGGAGCGGCTGCAAATCCCCCTGTAAGCCAGGGAAGAGTAATAATCTCCTAGAGGACAAATGAGCTGCAAGGGGGGAAACCCAGTATCCTGCCTTTTCCTTCCTCTTCCAGCAGATGTCAGCAGCATCCAGCATTCCTGCAGGGACCACAGCATCCCTGAGGGTGGGGAAGGCAGAGCCCAGGTCTTGGGTACCTGGTGGAGACCTGGTTTTGGTACAAGCAGGCTCTTCATTTAGGTGGCAAGAAGTCCTTGCTGGGCTTAGAAGGCATTGGGAGCAGCCACCAGAATGAGATGCACCATTTACAGTGGAATCTCTGGTACCTCCTTGCCTATGGGGAAGGATGGGGATTAAGTCCATTGGACTGGGCCAGTTTAGGTCCTCAGGATGGGATCTGGAGAGCCAAATGTGTGCTCTGCAACACCCAGACATCACTAAAATATGTGATGCACTAATGGTGTTTAAAGTTCTTCTCCAGCCTAGCTGATTCTATGAGTCTATGGCAAAGCACCAGAGCCAGAGCTGAACCCCAGCAGCAGACACCACCCCAGGCCAAGCCTGACCTCTGCCTTTCAGAAGGGTGTTTGTGCCCAAAAGCCCCCAAAGCAGAGGTGAGCCCAAGGAGATCCAGAGCCTGCATAGCCCAGTTCCTGCTCATGAGGCCGTTCCCAAACAGCCAACCCTCTCTAATCCATTTTCCTTCTGCTCCAGAGGCAAGGAGCTCAGCAAATCTGGTGCAGATCTCTGTGGCAGGGATTGTTGTTGGTGACAGGCATGTTAGCTCTCAGGAATGGTTAGGAAGAGGAGGCTGCAAGCCAGGGGAAGGATGGAGACCATACAGGCTGGGGCATCTGGGCACGGATTGCATCCTGGTCCTCTGACAGAGGCACATGGATGGCCAGCAGAGCCCTGGATGAGGTGTAATACACATTACCTGAGATTCATAGGATCAACCACATTGGAAAAGACCTTTAAGCCCACCCAGTCCAACTGTTTCCCAGCACTGCCAAGGCCATCATGGGGCAACTGCCCCATACAGGGAAGGGCTTCTGGATCTCCTCTCTATAGGTGCCCAAAGCATTCCCTTCATGTTATCACTCCAATAAAAGCCATATTTGAAGGCCAGAGACACAAAGCAAGCCAGAGTGTGAGTGACTCCCTCTGCTTCAGCTCCTGCCCCAAGCAGGGCCATTCCAGAGATGAATTCCAACCTGAAACCTCCACATCCCATCATTTCCAAGCCTTCCATTCTTTTCCCTGCTCTGCCATAACACATAAAAAGGTGAAGATATTCATCTCAGGCACCGAAGACTGGATACCCTCACCCACTGCCATCACCAAGAGGTCTCCTTCTTATCATCTC